CCTGGCCGAGGACCGTCACCCACTTCCCTCCCACGTGCCTGCCGGCATCCCCTCCCGGGATTGGCACTCACTTCCGTGGCCGGCGGGCAGCCCTGGCAGGGGAGGCAGCGAAAGCTGAGAGGGAAAAGTTATTTATTATTAACCTTCCGTCCTACCCTGGCACCTCCTTTCTGGCGGTCTCAGCGTGCTTTGTACCTCACCCCCATCTTCTAATGCCTGCGGTATCTTCTATTTGCATCACCACACCCACATACGCACCTTTTAACGTTGGTCTCGTTGACCCCATTTGACAGAAGGGGAAACTGAGGCACACAGCCTAGGTCAGCTGAACTCCCACCTGTGATCCCGGAGTGATATGCACATTTTGCAGGAGGGTTGGCTTGGGGTTAGTCGTGAGTCTCATTTTTCTGTTGCTTGCGCGACTGCAGACTTCGGTGAGTTGCGGGGGCTAATCGGTGCCTCGGTTTCCCCATCTGTAGAACAGGGGTTATTATCTCCACCTGCCTGATGCGAGGGACGGGGAGCGGGCAGAGGCGTTGGCCTTGGCAGCCGTGCAGCGTTGTAGATAGAGGCAGAGGATTGGCTGACTGCTTCTGCCCTGGTCTCTCTAGATCCTCCTGGGCCACCAGAGTTTGATTTTGGAGGCGGATGGGGCAAACCCAGCCCTGTGAGCAGGGGGGTGTGGGACCAGGGAGCATCTCAGGCTGCCCTGAAGGTCGCTTGCTGCCAGCCTGCCTGGTGGGAGACGCAGAGCAGGTGCCAGATCAGCTCCCTAGAGTGAGCTCATCACCGCTGGGGGTCCCGACTGCTTTTCCCAATGGAAAAGAGCGATCTCGGCATTGTAATGGGCCCGAGACCTGCCCCGGCAACAAAAAGGTTAAAGGTCTAGGAAGGCGGAAGGAATTGGGCTTGTTTCGTTTGGAAAAGAGCAGGCTGAGAGGGGACAGGAGAGCAGCTTTCAAATACCTAAAAGGGTGTTACAAGGAGGAGGGAGGAAAATTGTTCCCCTTGGCCTCTGAGGCCAGGACAAGAAGCAATGGGCTGAAACTGCAGCAAGGGAGGTTGAGGCAGGACATTAGGAAAAACTTCCTACCTGTCCGAGTGGTGAAACACTGGAATAAATGGCCCAGGGAGGTTGTGGAATCTCCATCACTGGAGACATTGCAGAGCAGGTTGGACAGACGCCTGCCAGGGATGGGCTAGACGGTGCTTGGTCCTGCCGTGAGTGCAGGGGACTGGACTCGATGGCCTCTCCCATTCATCTTTCCAGGAATGGGGTCCCTAGAGATGTTTCACTGCTTGCTGGCTCCTCCCCGCTTCTGTCCGGCCGCCGCTTCGCCTGGGAGTGGAGAGCTGCCGACGGGCCGGCGACGGCCAAGGGGTCCCTGACGGTGTGCGGGGAAGCGGTGGCTACGGGAGGCGCAGGGCGGCGCGAGATCAGGGCCTGACACGCAGGCGGCCCCTGCGATTACAGGATCCCACCCGAGAGGAGCCGAGCTCCCGGGGAGCCTGCCCGCGGCTGCGAAGCAGAGCGCCGTGCCCCTTAGCTCCGCTTTCCTCCCTGCACGCGGCGCTCCTCCCGGTCCCTTGTAAGGCCAGCAGCTGCC